GTCTGTGGTGTCTCCACTCTCCACTCCAGCTCCTTTCTTGACAGCTTCGTTATTTTCTTATCGGGAAAAGTACAATAAAAACCAATGAGCTTTCTTGTTTGGAATGATTAAGTCCTTAAATTTTTTTTGGAATAAATAAGTCCTTTGACTTTTCAAAACATGTTAAATAAGTTCTTGAACATTCCAAAATATGTTAAATAAGTCATTGGACAATTTTTGGAACAAATAAGTCCTTAGACATTTCAAAAAATGTTAAATAAGTCCTTGGAAAATTTTTGAAACAAATAAGTTCTTGAACAATCCAAAACATGTTAAATAACTTTTTGAAAAAAATAAAGTGGTAAAATAGTGGAAAAAAATCCGAAAAAAAACTCAATGAACATTCATATTTTGAACGATTAAGCCCCTAAATATTTTTTGAACCAAAAAGTATTTAGATYTATAAAATTAAACAAATATAAAAAAAATACTTACATTTACAAAAAATAATTACCATTTTAACTAGTTGTACAAGTTATGAGAATGTATCCAACATGTTCTATAAAAGTTCAAGAAGTTATTTAACATGTTTTGGATTGTTCAATGACTTATTTGTTCCAAAAATTGTCCAAGGACTTATTTAATATTTTTTGGAATGTCTAAGGACTTATTTAACATATTTTAGAATGTCCAAGGACTTATTTAACATTTTTTGGAATGTCTGAGGACTTATTTAACATGTTTTGGAAAGTTCAAGGACTTATTTGTTCCAAAAAAAAGTTCAARRACTTAATCATTCCAAACAAGAAAGTTCATTGGTTTTTATTGTACTTTTCCCTTTCTTATTTTGTAGGGGTTAAAAATTAATTTAAATTAACATTTAGAGTAAATTACGTTTTTAATCCTTCCGGTTTGTTAAAAGTTGCTATTTTCATCCTTGTGTTTAAAAAACGATCTTTATCCTTATAGTTTATAATTCGTCACTTTTTCCATTTATATGGTTTATAATTCATTGATATTTAAGTAAATATAGTTTATATTTTATTGCTATTTTTATATCTCATACTTAATTGTCGTGAATTGTCTCGAGAAGCACTAGCACACCTAGGATTTTTGTCGAGCATGCACATTTAAGGTTTGATCAAAGGTCCGCACACAATTGTTCAATATGTTTTAAGCTAAATTTCACCATTCAAAAGATTTTTTAAGTTTCGTTGTTGATTTTGAGGGGAAAGTTTTTTTTTTGTTGATTTCGATAGAATCTCTTCGGGTTATTTGGTTGATTTTAAGATTTTTTTTTTTCGATTTTTCTTATGTTTTCTAATAATTCATAGCATTTCTCAAAGTTCAGCGAGTGCATATTTCATAACTTAAAAAAAGGTCATACTTGCAAAAACAAGTTGAGCGAATGCACAGAAGTCTACGCAAACATACATAAGTCTGTCCCTATCGAGGAGAAAGCCAGCAATGAATTGTTTAACTATAGAAACAAATCATAATTTCAAAGTATAAGGACAAAAATTGAAATCTAAACAAACCAGAGGGACGAAAATTGTAGTTTACTCAATTTAATTAAATATTCCCTTTTTTTTTTCTCTTCTCTTTTTCAGTTGGGTACGACTAATCCGTAGACAAGCCGGTCAAAGCCCTAAACTGCACATCAGGAACACACTTATGGAAGAAGAGGGTGGTTTGCCCGCAAAACAGCCATGGCGGGTGCTCGAATTTTACAGTGGCATTGGTGGCATGGTAAGCCAACCACAACTTTCTCTCTAGTTATATCTTGGCTTCTTATTGAAAATTTCTCTTTGGAATAATATTTGAGGCATGGAACTTGAACAGAGGTATTCGGTGATGAAGGCTGGATTGCAAACCGAAATGGTTGAAGCTTTCGACATAAACGACTTGGCTAATGATGTTTATGAGCATAATTTTGGGCATCGGCCATTTCAGGTGTGTCTTTGAACATAGCATTCCGATCGAGGGACACAGACAGTTACCTTTGACTCAAATATGATGTAGATTCTATAGTTCATGCTAAAAATTGATAACGAATTTAAGGCATAACAAGTACTACAAAATGAAAAGATGTAGATGTTGAAAGGTACTGTCTGTGTAAATGTATAATGATGTTGTCAATATTGTTCAGATGGTTATTTTTCTTCATTTTTCGAGGTGGATATAGGGTAACATTCAGACATTGACTGCTGCTGATCTTGATCGTTACTGCGCAAACGTGTGGCTTCTTTCTCCACCATGCCAACCGTATACCCGACAAGGTTAGGTTCAGATAGTTATTGCATTTCCCATTTTGTCCGATGATGATTTCATTGATTATAATGTATCCCAAACTAAGCCTGTCTTTTTAGGTCTTCAGAAACAATCTGCTGATGCTCGGGCCTCCTCTTTTCTCAGAATTCTTGAAATCATTCCGCAGTTGATGCTACCTCCGGTCATGCTCTTTGTTGAGAATGTTGTTGGATTTGAGGTTTGGAATCAAAATTTGAGCTCAATTTATGAAATTATATTGCCAATGCATTGTTCATTTACTAAATTGTTGTTTTGTTTCAGACATCTGATACACATCAAAAGATGGTTCAGATACTCGAGGAAAGCCAATTTGAAATGCAGGAATTTATATTAAGCCCACTGCAGTTTGGTGTGCCGTACTCCCGTCCCCGTTACTTTTGCCTGGTATGTCAACCAAAACAAAGAAAACAGAGCGTCGTGTTGATTAACAATTTCAAAGTATCACATGAAAAATCCCGAGAGTCTTGAATTTAATTGTATTTGTTATGCATGCTTTGCAGGCCAAAAGAAAGCCATCATCCTTCTGCAACCCAGAGTTCAATCGGCAGCTTCTTCATGTGCCAGAACTGTTAGTAGGTTGCAATGAGAGCATATCAATCAGTGAAAATGGTCAATTAACAAGTACTTCTGATAAGATGCTCCAAACATGTCTTCCTATAGAAAGATTTTTGGAATTTGGGAACTCCATGAACCAGGTCGAAAATGGAACAAGTTTTCCACCAGATACTTGTTCAGATGAAAGTTCTTTAAAGCAGTACTTTGTTCCATCAAACTTGATAGAAAGATGGGGAAGTGCCATGGGTATCCTTGATATCAAGTTGTTTGTTTTATGTACATTTATAACCTCAAAATAGTTTTAATCCATAGCTGTCTCTTGATGCAAATGTTGTTCCTTAAAGTGGTATAGATATCGTCTATCCTGATTCAAAGCGCTGCTGTTGCTTCACAAAGAGTTATTATCGTTATGTGAAGGGCACTGGATCTCTATTAACAACCGTTATGGTAAATTTCTGCAATCATGCATAGCTTTTTGTTGCAAGTAAACCATCTTTTTTGTGAAAATGCAAAGGCTACTACACATCACAAGAATGAGAGGTTATGTAAAATAGTTCAATAAGCAAATCACTCTTACTTAATGGCAGTATGTATGCATTCTCTCTCTGCCTTTGAAAGGCATTAGTTGTTATTCAGATTATGACTTGCATTGTTAGGCACCCAATCTTATATGCTGACTTTTTTCTCCCTATGAACCATTTGCAGCCAAAGACGAGAGACAAAACATCATTGGAGGAACTTTGCCTCAGATACTTTACGCCTAGAGAGGTCTGTAGTTGTCTAATGCAATTTGTTCTTTTTTAGTCCTTATTGGTTTTCTTGGTGGTGATCCTTTATTCGTTTCACAAGCTCATAAGAAAGTTATATTGCAGGTTTCAAATTTGCATTCTTTCCCCAAGGAATTTGAGTTTCCAGAACATGTAACCCTTCGACAACGGTATGTTGATTAAACCTTTTTATACCCTTGCATTTTTGCATGGTGAAAATGGAGATTGATAATTTGCATGTAATACTTCAAAAGTGTGATTCATACTTTATTATTCCGGATTCTTGTTTCCACTATGAGAGCAGATAACGCCCAAATTAACATACATCCTCTGTTCTAAAAAGAGAGTTCACTTTGACTTTTACATGTCAAAAATATTCTAAGTCAAATTTTATATCGACTTTTGCACGATTTCATCCCCTTATTCGAGTGCTATTTACATAGTTCAGTCTACAAACGACACACATTTTATCCCATACTAGTTTCATTTTACTCAGTTTAATCTAATCATAAATTTGCAAGTTGTAGACCATGATGTTTGGCTTTCAAAAGTCAAGCTTGTACTCTCTTTTTCGGAACACATGGATTCTTTCCAGATGCTGAAAATGCCATTTTTCCGTATCACCACCATCAAAATGCATTAAGTCTTAAAATTCATGGTACTTTTTCTATTTTTTTATACTATTGGATTTTTTTTTATGAATTTTGAAGTTAAAGCTAGTCTCTAAAAAGTCAAACACGGGCCTTTCTTTTGTAGAACAGAGTGGTACAAGAGAGAAAAAGAATGAACCTACACTCCTAAAACTTGATAGCATCATTAGCCCCTTCCTTTCATGAAAATTGCATCACTTTCTTTTTCATAACATCCGGTTAAAATTTGTAATGCTTCATTTTTTGGCAAAATTTCATGTTAAAATTATATAAACTTTCTAATTGTCATTAGAAATAAATGGATGGTATTCAATTTGATTCACAATATGCTTGCATTTTGTTTGTACTCTAGGGGGTGTTTGGTTATAGTATTAAGTTGTCATTAATGTGATTGAAAATAAAAGAAACTGTTTGGTGTTATATAACATAATAGGCCCAATCCCCGGCAAAGCCCAGATTTTCATTACAGGTTAAAGTTGCACGAATGAATATTCATTCTAATTTTCATTTCCCCTCATGAACCAAACTTTTTTCTTAGATATATGAAAGCATTCTTAAACCATCCATTTATGTATCTAATAAAACATTACTTGCATTGGTTTTTGAATTATTAATTTTAAAGATTAAGCTCACTGTTTTGTTTCTGCAGTTATGCATTGCTGGGAAACAGTTTGAGTACAGCAGTGGTTGCTCCGCTGCTCCATTATCTGTTTAGCGAACCATAGTTTTTTCTTCAGTTGTTTTTCGATCATATGATTCTCAGTTTGCAAGGCTTAATCCCATCAAAGTTGATAACATTTCGATCTCCAGGACTTGTTTATGAAGCTCGAAGAAGCACCGTGTGTATGATGAGTTTTTGATCATATCTTATATCTACAAGATGAGGCTTGAAGTGTTGTTCAAATGATATTGATATTTTTGTGTTTTAGGTATGCACTTCCAGAGAAATGCACAGAATTTGGTGTTAGAATTGTATCCCATATGTATGAGATCATCAATACTCATGGAATATGAGTCATCTTTCAAGAGTAACATTGTTAGTTTTTGTAATTATCTTATACATGAATACAGGGGACCTTTTTTTGTGAACTTTCTATATAATACTGCAAAGTACATTTCAATTTTAGAAACTGGTCTTGCAAGTTTGGTCTATACTCTTGTTTATCGGTTGGCATCCAATAGATGCGAAACCGAATCGATCCAAGCATCCATTGGATGTTGAATTTTGTCGAGCGATCTAATTCAATTAACATTAAACAGCCGATCCAATCTAATCCAATGAATGATTAAAGTGGTTCGATTCTATCCATTGGATATAGAGATGAAAATTTTACCCGTCGGGACGTCAACGTTTATTTTCATATCTGAAGCGGGGTCAGAGCAGGGTCGGGGATGGTGTTACCCTCCCCTAATCCGGCCCCAATTGTTTTTTTTTAGTATGTATATAGTGTGTATAATACATAAATATGTATATATGTAAGTAAATATTTAGTTTTAAATGACATATATATTTGATTTTCAATATGATAGTTAATATAGTGGTGATTTATCATAATTATAATTTTTCTTAATTTATAAGGCTAGTTTTTGTAATTTACTCTAATTTAAAGATTGACTTTAATGAAAATAAAGTAAAGTACACTTTTCGTAATTGTGTTTTGCAAATCTTGTGACTTTAGTTCCTAGATTTTTAAATCTTTCTTATGGTTTTAATTTTGTTTTATTTGTTATCTCGACCTCGTTAAGTGTCGAATATCTGAGAGTAATTTCATCTGTTGCCATATATATTTATTCATTTTTTATTATATAAGTTTGCATTATATATGCACAAGTGTTGGAGCATTTAAGAAAAAGAATAAAGAAAAACTAAATATAATAAAACCCTGAGCCCCTCCCTTCCCATCTATATTCTTCAGCTACCCATTTTCCTTCCGCACAAACCTACATTCTACTCATCAATAGACAATAGCCACTGCCTTTGTCATCTATTTCGTAACACACACGCTCAGCCACGTTAAGTTCCACCATAACCAACCTCAAGAATGTCAGCTCGCATGTGGGATGACCTAACCGAGGATTTTTAACGACGGTTAGCCTACAGACAATAAAGAGAAACCCAAGAAAGTTTTGGTAATCATCCAATTGTAAGGACTAGAGCCAAAGATTTTCAAAGCACAGGGACGAAAAGTGTAATTTAGTCTTAAAATATATACATTTGATGTTCTGTTGAAACTCCCGCCTTTTTTCGATTATTTTATTTCTCACCCAAACAGTTTATTTTGGAAGTCATCTCCAATATGTTTTTGGTAAAAGGATATCGATCTTGTCATCATCATTCTGTTTAATTGATTTTCTTTCTACCAGAAGAAGTATATGAGGGGTTAGGGTTTTGTTACTGCGTGAATTCCCCTGAAGAAGAAGTCATCGCCGACACCGGAATCCGTTTCTTTCCAAGTACATATAGCATAAAACGTTTCTTGTCACAATTTCGATATTACTTTCTGTTTCATCCTGTATCTCGTTCCTGATTTTTGCATCTCATTTGATTATCTTGTAAATTGGTTGGTTAAATTTGTCGTCCAAATTTCATACTATAGGTGAAGATTCTTTTAATAAATTTTTTGAAGGATGTTGTTGGTGAAGTTGGCGGCACTTTCTTGTCAATTATGGCCTATTGTATTATGTATTTTCAGTTCTATATTTGTAAGGCTAACCTGAAGAAGGGTTGTTTGGATCCATAGTGCAGATACGTTTAGGGGGAAATGAGGGAAGACCACTTGAGAGGGTGCCATTTTCTCTAGTGTAGGAACTGGGAGATGTGGGGTTAGGTTATTAGGGATTATGTGGAGGAAGTAATCAGGATAGTTTTCAGTGAATAGGATATATTAGATAATCGGGTTAATTGACCAACCTACCATTGTCCACCAGATGATTTAWGAACCCTAAAATTTMTGTAGCCAATCTGACCACTTTTCCATCTTTGATTATCCAAGRAAACACTCTAATGGCAGAATAGCCACAGAACATGCCAACATSAAAGAATTTTCAGTTAAAGATTAGAACATCAATTATCTGGCATGACACATTATTCTTTAAACATGACAAAAGAAAAATGARCATACAAAGGCACAWATGCCGTTAATATCATCTTCCAAGTGCATATAAKTTTTGGGGAAAATGAGCAAAGACCACTTGAAATGTTATTTTAATGTGGTGAACCTCTCGACGAGGATATTTGTAACAAGATAAGGGATCTAGTAGATCAAGGGTTTGGCTAAGGGAGAATCGTTTGAGGAAGTAGTTAAATTTGATTGTGATATAATAGATGATATGATGAGTGTAGGAAGATGTTGTATGTACCAGAATGCTACAGTTGGTTATCCTTTTATAAGGTTTTGTAGCTTCAATTTTCTTATGTCTACTTCTCTGGTCCGGGACAAAATGTTTCTTCTTCTTGTTCTATGTTTATCAAWATGTTGGGATTGATCCTCATAATGAAGTGTTAGCAACAAGGACAATGCCTATATAAGGTCTTTTAGAAGAAGGGGACCCAATCCCCATACCCGTTATCCTCATAAAAACTAATAGGAGTGATGGTCTATCTGTTTCCTGGCCATCAGGTATAGGTTTACACTTGCATAGGYCGGGCAATTGGCTTGTTTACGGYATACAAACATTGTTACAACTGAAGTGAGCTATCCAGGCGCTTAAGGGAAGATTCTCATAACAACAATAATAATTAGGAGTTATCATGCATTAGATGACACAAGATTTCACCAATTTCAAATTTGACTGAAAATGTTTCAATTAGAAAGTGGTGATTTTACACATGAAATGAGACATTGCTTCTTGTCCATCCTACAACACTGCTACATTGTTGAACATGATGAGCATAAAAAATTATTTGATCAGGGGAACCTGAGCTTCGAACCAGCCAAGAGAGTTGATTGAATCTGACATATCAAACCCCCAAAAGTAAAGGTATGGCTCTATGTTTTCCGTAAGAATTCATTATGTGGATTCTTCCTTGTCATATTCATGTTTTTCTCTAATCGTTCCAGAATGAATACAAATAACGAAGTTGATGATCGGAAGCGCTGCAAATGCAAGAAATCTGAGTGCTTGAAATTGTAAGTTAATTAATATTGGCAAAAAAAAAACCTTTGTCGCTTCAACTAGACGGTATGATCACATTCTCAATATACCGTCTAAATAAAATATTGCACCAATTTACCAACTAAAGTTTTAGGTTGTTAACAAGATACCGCTCATCAGAGAGGAGTTATAGATGATGATCTGACAACTGCTCTGACATTTGGCTTTAAAATGCTGATGTGGGAGTAATAGGTAAAAGCATGTTCCAATGAGAGGTAGGGGGTAACTTCACTTACAGTCTAAGCCTGTACTTTAATTAACAATCATCATAGTAGTCCATTAATTMTTTTTGAAGCATATARTATTTCTATATAGAAATGCAACAAGAGAACTCACACACCCTCCTCACCTTTCATGAGGCTTGAACCCATGACCTCCTAGGAGGCCAAAGGCCCAGATACCGCTAGGCCGTCGTTTCATGTTGTCGTCATTATGCCTACCTGTTTCATGCCATCTAAGCTGAAGTTAGTTGTCTGGTTGGTGTTTTTGTTAACTAAGGAGGCACGTGCTAAGAGCCTTGAACTTTAGTTGATAAGATCATGCAAAAAAAATAAAATTAATGAGGTAACCATTAGTGGGAAAAACAACATACTTGATGCAAACCTATAAACTCCTCCAGCTGAATGAGGGCCACACAACCGTCAACCCTGCTGGAAGGGCTTTCTAGATCCAATCTCTTGGTCTTTCGTTCAAAAACTAGCTTTTTGCCTTCAGTGATTTTGTATTATAAAGYGAACAAATGCAATGGATGGTAATCAGAACAGTTTCTTTTGCAGTTATTGTGATTGCTTTGCAGCTAGATTCTATTGTGATAAACATTGTTCTTGCCAAGGGTGCTACAATATTCCAGATTATGAAGCTACGGTCAATATGACRCGTGAACAAATAGAACTGCGAAATCCACTTGCATTCACCCCTAAGATACATTATCTGGTACTGTCTCGAAGAAGCCATATGACCTTTAAATTTCACTTTGCATTCTAAACTGATAGACTAACAACCATGATGGTTATTGACAGGAGTATGGAGATCGGTTTGTAGGAGAACACATAAAGGGTTGCAACTGCAGAAAGTCAATGTGTCAGAGCAAGTATTGTGAGTGCTATCGGGTTTGTTCTCGACCTTCTTGTTATTATTCATGTCAGATTCTCTTCATCTTTTCTGTCCTGTCCTGTTGTACTAAATTTTTGTTTTCATCCGGTCCCAATAGGCTAAAGTCGGATGCAGTGGTGGATGCCGGTGTGAAGGATGTAGAAATGTTTATRGCAATAAAGGAGGTAAACTGGAKATGCATGTTACTCCTTTATTAAACTATCTTTTCTAGTAAATGATTGTAAGGAACAACTCTTGTCATTGATCGTAAATGGTAGGAAAGGGGTCTAGAAATTAGAATATAAAAACAGATTTTAGTTTTTGGTGCATCACATACATGACTGAGATTATGAATGAACTGTTTGAWGGTGGTTATGCATGGATTCATTAATTTTGCTATCATTTTCCTATTCCTAGTTATAATCCCTTAGAAGATTTATTATCATCCAGATCAGCCAAGTTGGTGTCAAGTGGTTGTCTRTATCAWACTGAGTGAAGTTTTTGGTAGACAAATGCTAAAATTGCACAATACTTAGACATCTAACAAAGGGCTTGATTCTAGTCCAATGGCATTTGAAATTATGTTTATAGAAAATTAAGTCCTTTTCTTGGTTGTATATTAAAGTCTAACTTATTCCTTGCATTCCAGAGTACAATGTGAGATCCATCCATGACCCTAACCCTAACATCCAGGAATCAGAGTTTCTTAGGTTGGGATTACCTGAATTCCATAATCATCCCAACTTGACTCCTATGGCACCTCCTGCATGCTAAGATGCTTATCATGAACTGCTGTTCCGACTCCACAAGTCTTAATTGGTTATGGTGTTGATTGGTTACTTTTTTTTTTCTCATGTCTAGCCTTGGAGAGGGCACCTCAACAGTTGGACCTTTTAATCCACCACCAGGATACAACATGATGTTAGGAACATAGAGAGGAAATGTTCCTTTGGATCAACATCCCAATGACGAATTCGTGAATCAATTCACACCTCCTCAAGATACCAATGTCGTTTCCATGATGAACCTTCCTTCAGTGAATGTGATGGAGTGGCCAAATAGTTCAAGAGCTGGTGGGAGTTCCTTACGAGTGGTTGTCACCCCAGTACGTCTGTTTGGTGGCAACAGAAATCCCATTGACGACATTGAATGCCGATTCCATTTCCGATGCAGGCAGCTCGACTACTCCACCAGGTAATAAGTGAGATGCTCCATGCTTAGCTTGATTTTATTGAAACTATGCAGTGCAAAGTTAAGATCCTCCATGCTTAACTCACCCATTGATACAAAAGGCATGCAGCAAGTAAATCAGAATATGAATGATGTTCACAAGTTGTACATACAGACATGGATATATACATACATTGTAATGATTCTTTTTACCACATGGAAGGAGGTTAGGATTAGGGAACTTCCTTATTGGCTATGCTTACACGTTTGTAGATAAGATGCTTTGCAAAAGCCATATACCACCATTTAGTGGGATTTGCATTTGGTTTACTAGAAAGTTTGGAATTGAAATCCCGATTTCCACGGATTTGTTTGTAATATGTTTTAAAATATGTTAAAAAAACATTCATTTTGTAACAATTCATTAATAAAAGGTATTTTATTTATTTTTATAAGTTTTTTATAAATTATCTTTAAATGATGGAATTCAATTCTATTCCAAATACTACAAACCAAACAAATTACAGATTCCAAATCCTTCCATAAAATCCAAATCCCTTAAAGGGGGTTATGGTTTCGAGTAATTTGGATTTCGTAGAAGGATTTGGAATTTTGGTGTATTTAGTTTGTGGAATTTGGAATGTAATTTGAATTCCATTTTTTATAGAAACAAATTACAAATAATTATAAAATTTTATAAATTACCTTTTTGTTAATTGAATTATCGTAAAACAAATGTTTTCAACTTTTTTTTAAACATCATTACACACAAATCCTATTAAATCCTGTGATTGGGATTTCTAAATCCATTTTTTTGTGGTATTTGAACGAAATATCGGGATTTCAAATCTAAACAATCCTTCAAACCAAATATGGGATTGGAATGAAATTGAGTTTCAAATCCCTTCAAATTCTATCCAATCCTACAAACCAAAAGGGATCCTAAAATAGTTAACAAGACATTTTATTTTAAAAGCATCCTAAAAAACTTATTACAAAAACGCCTAAAAACAACTTATAAACCTATTGTAACATTTTTAGATATGACGTTTTATCAACTATGAACATCATGGATGGCTGGATCTCACAATACTTTCACAGGCACATTGACTTTATACAGTTGCAACTTTTTTTGTGTTTTCCTACAAGCCGATTTCCATACTCGTGCCGACAACCATTATGGTTGTTAATCCATCAGTTTAGAATGCAAAGTGAAATTTAAAGGTGGTCATGTGGCTTCTTCGAGACGGTATCAGACAACGCATCTTGGGTGAAATGCAAGYGGATTTYGCACTTMTATTATTCACGCGTCATATCAACCGTCTCTTCATAATTTGGTTATACTGTAACACCCTAGACGACAACAATGTTCATCACAATAATACAAAAATACTCGACGCAAAAACCGTGCTCGATCACTTTACAACTCTGATCGTATAAACTGCATAGAAGAAAAATCAATGATTTATTGGGTTCCGATCCAATGAAATGGAAGGATAACAAGATGTCTCTTTCATTTACACAAGAAAAAATGTGTATGTATAGCAACTAGAGGTGCTCAAAAAATCGATCAAACCAGGCCCTCGAAAAAAATCCCAAAGTAACCCACTGATACAAAACTAGGACAAAATGAATCTACTGGGTTGAAATTGGGTTAGGTCCTAAGTAACCCAATCAACTTGATAATCCGATGAAAGTTTTAGMGGCTTCTTTAAAATTATTTGTATTTCTCTTTAATATATATAAGCTGCCAAAAAAAAGACTCGATACAACAACGAGCAAATGAAACTCATAAGAGGACATTATTGGAAAGTTATATGTAGATTAATACCCAAATATTTGATAAACTCGTATGTCATCTTGAATGATTGATTGTATTTCGAAGGAAGGTTTGCTTTATTTTTATGTTCTCAATGTAGATTTTATTTGTCTAAATACAACCGGCCAACCCAACCAAACCGATCAATCCGAACAGGTTGGGTTGGGTTGCATTTTTGTTTGGATGGGTTGGGTTGAAAATTTTCAAACCACCAACATCAGATTGGGTTATTCAAATACCTTCAACCCGATCGAGCCAACTCATTAACAACAAACTCTATATCATTAAGAAAAATTAGTGGTTGTCGGAGTTCTTTGTTAGTGCCGTCATAACAAAATACCTTCATTGCCCTTACTTGAGTTGAGGATGTTCGAGTTCTTCAAGTTTCGACCTAGTCGTGTTTGCATGAAAACCCTACCATGACAACATGTCATCGTAGGGTGAATTTAAAAAAAAATAAAAACGATACCCTCACACTATTTTATTACGATGATACGTTGTCATTGTAGATAATCAGTTTTGGGGACTTTAACAAGATGTCGACAAAGCTTCATGATGTCATACAAGTCTATCTTAAGTGGGTGTGTTCTAAGCTTGTTAATTGTTACTCCTTTAGTCCCAAGATAAATATCCATAATGAAAATGATATACAATTTTAGGAATGTTTAATTGTTACATTTTTTAAATAACCTAAATGACATTTTTATCCTTAATAATAGAGAGGGAGAGAGAAACTTTCTTCATTTCATAATTAAGGGTTTAAATAGGAAAATGAAAACTTCTGGAAGTTGACGGTTATTTTAGATCAATCTAAAATAGAAATATCGTATGAATACAAATTTAATACATAAAGACTAGAAGGCCCACGGGTCGTGAACTTCTTTTCCCGGAGAAAAAGCAATAACAGTATATGGGGAATAAGCATCGGCTAACTCTGTGCCAGCATTCCAATTTATGAGGCAAATAAAAACACTAACAAGGATACCTTAAATAAAAAATATACATCAAACATGTTCTTATGCTATATATATAGTATTAACTACATGATCCAAAATGGAAAGAAATGTGAATCCGTGCATGCATCAAGCCCCTAGACATGCAATGAGCCAACTACAAACATCATTAATTTCTTCTATGATTGTGTAATGACCAAGCCTGAATTAATTCATAAAAACCAAAATTAATAACTAATACATATGAAAGGTTCTCAACATAATCCAAAAACAGAGTTACCTGTTGTATGTTCGAAATGTTAAGTTTTGAAATCCAGCCGAATACATGGTTTGTGCAGATTTCTCCCCGATTTTGCAGTCAACAACGTCATCGACTGCAACAAAGAAATAATGCCTCAACGACTTACATTTTTTATACATCTGGTTGTATCTTTTCTGACATTCAAACACATAGATGTTCAAAGATTAATGGGCGGACATGGGCATGGAAGAATGATCATGATCACCTCTAACGCTGCGCCAATCAAACATTGAATTATAACTCTCTTATATATATAGCTAGCGTGATTGCAATAGAAAAGGGCGATTGATCTTGGCACGAATGTAAAACCTTGACCATGGCAGAGTAAGGTAGGTAAGGATGCTGTGCGCCTTGCAGCTTCTTGCGATGCTCCGACTCTGTTCCTTAGATTCCTAGAAAAATAGGTGTTCAATAAGACAAACAATCTCAAAATGTAGGTGAAAATGAATAGAACCTTAAATGGTCAAGTTAAGATGGTAATTAGTCTGCAAAGAAGGATGGTAAAACCTGGAAGTTGGGAGCCAACCACTAAGAGCCACAGTCGCACTGAGGTTGATGGGGTATCGATTGCCATTCCCATATTGCCCAACAGCACGACATGTTGCAGAGTAGAGGGCCACAGCTGCACCTATACTGAACCCAGCAATGCCTAGTTTAACTATACTTACAAAAGGAAATATTATGTTAATGAATATCTTAGCATGGTTCTCAAAATATTTACGATTTCATGCCATACCATCATCTGGCTCATTAGACAAGAGATTTGCAACATGTGTTGCTGAAGCATCCAAGCCCTCTAAATCATCACAAGCGTCTTCCGACATGCTTTCGACATTAAACCCTGATAAAAATGTCGTATAATTAACATCACAAACGTCGTTATCAATTTTTGCATAATCCTAATTAAGTACTACAAGATGTTCCTATATGAAGATATAAATACGTATATTAAAAAGAAAGAAAACATACAAGCAGTACAAGGATATCCACCAAATAGAGTTACTTGACGAGTTGGCGCACTTGGGCAGATCCATTTGGATCTAAATCATTGAGATAAACAAATGTTCAAATACTAATTAATGTGCATAAGAATTGAAAGGAAGAAAATTTGAATCCTTACATTTGGAAGAGGCATAGTTTCCAAGATTTGAGTCCAACTGTAGACCAGAAAAAGTCAGCATCATTATCCATTAATACATTTTTGTAACATATATATATATATATATATAATGGGTTTTTTAAATAAAGAATATTTAATAAAAAAGGTTTCATATATTCTAATAGAATCCATGAAGTCTTGTTGCCACGAGTGGAGTTGAGGTGAGCATGGGGTGTGGACACCTGCATTGAAGCCAAACACATGGTTGTGTGTGCATTGTGTTGTTGCTTTCATTCAATAACAAAGAATTGGTCAATATAGTTGCTTATCTAAGGACCACCTCAACATCACAAAGAGAGTCAATTAAGATTCAAAAAACTATCTTTCTAGATGTTTTATATATCTTCATTTGATTTTTACGTACAGTTCCTTCGTAAATACAATAAAATCTTGTCAATTTCGACGTCAAATGTCAAAAACACGTAGAGTTTTTAAAGTGAAGTTAATTTAGATTAGCAAATTAAGATGCATATATAAGATATTATCACCTTGAGCCCTTCTCACTGATGCCATGTAACAAAACAATAGTTGCATGATGAGTTCCTTTGGACATCACCACAAAAGTCCTTCCAAATTCCAACACATTTCTTCTCGCATTTCTACTACCTGAAAAAAAACCAGTAAACCCCTAAATCTTGACAACAGGATTCAAAAAGCTAGCTTGTAGGGTTAAAAATGGAAACAACTTATTTGCAAGAACACAAAGAAAAAGCATGGTTTATGGTATCATGGCTTGTCAATGAGGGTCACCCTAAGGTTTTAGGACAATGCACCAAGGATTAGTCTCGGTTTATAATAGAAGGTAACGGCCGAATTTATATAGATAATTTTGGTCAGACAATTGTGTCCCCATATGTTTTAAAGACAAATGCACCAATATGGTTAGTCACATAAAGATGTAAAAGAAACTAACCTGAACCAAGATTAGAGTTGTAACTCATTTTTGTCTTCAGCTATAAGTTATTGCACTAATTGAAGCAAATCAAGAAAGCACTCAGTGATGCGAATGATGGATGAAATCAAAGGGATATTTGTGTCTATTTATAACGAATTACGGGTAGAGGTAAATTACGAAAATGGGTAAYGACAGATGATCAGCTATGTCTACACCAGTTGGACACTGCCTAAAACCACCTGTTRAACTAGAATCTGATGAGGAAAAGGAACATCTGAGGAAGGGAATAATAAATTTGGCAACTTTATTGGTTTCAAGATAGAACTTTAACCAATCAAAACCAAGAAAATGGAAAATGTAAACCCTAAAACCTAAATTGTCACTGAGGCTGCGGTGGATATCTTAAGAATATATGCTTGTAGCCAGTTGGTAGAAGAAAAGGTGCTTCAAAATACGATATTATGTGAACACCATTTCCACATGATAAGCAAGAAGTTACCTAATATATTCTGATTCTGATCCAGTGACCTATAGCTACAAATCAGATACACATGTTTGTGCTTATACATACAATCTCACAACTAGGCATATATAAACACACACACACACACACAGAGACAAAAAAACATTATGATTCAGTAAAACATGACGACGTGATGAATGATGAATGATGAATGATGAATGATGAAAGAATAAGTTGTAAACATCTCTGGGAACGGGATGTTAATCCCCATACCCGCCAGGGACCAGGGCCGGGGGCTGTTACTACAAACAGGGGCCAGGGTTGGGGATTACAAAACCCGCCCCATCCCCACCCCGTTGCCATGCCTAAGGTCAAGACCTTGGTGTCGTGATGGATCACACCAGCCGAAG